CTCAGGTCCCTTCCGACCCTAGAAACTACGAAACTATAAATGTGCTTTAACGGCTACCAAATCAGTGCAACAGAGCTTTTCTTTAAGGAAGTAAACACAAATGTAAAGATTACAACCAAGGTTTCCTGTTTAAAAATCAAGAGTAAAATGGTGATTTATATCACTGTCATTAAAAAAAAATTGAGCCACCCTAGAAACAGGAGGCATGTACAGACATAACTATCAGGCACCTCAGGCAAAGATTTGGAAAACATGTCTAACATAGGCACCACCATTTTCTCACTCAGTCACAAGCTACTATTCAAGCATCTCATTCCAGTTACTTTACCTCCTGAATCTGATCCACCAGGTTCTCTGCCTTCTCCACAGTGACATCCTTCATGGACAGTTTCAGAGCTCCTACTCCAGCCTGGTAGGCATTAAACACCTAAATGGGGGTTAGGGGGAGAGAGAAGATATTTCACTTTCATGGGGACACATCTCTTGAGCCAAGAAAGGACTACTGGCTGCTCCACCGTACCACACTGTGTACATTACCATCTGATCCGTCTGTGAAGCATATATACGATCCAGTATACCCTGCACTGTATCCAGCTTTGAGTGGAGCTCTTCAATCCGTCTTTCTGTCCTTCGCTTTGATTTTAAACATCTAAGTGCCTAGAAGGAAAATGATGCAGAAACAGATCAGAAACCAGGCAGCATTCAGATAAGTCCCTTATCTAAACAACTACCCCAAGCACAGGAAGGAAGACAGCACAGTTGGCTTTAGGCTGTATCTTCCATCACTCGTGTACATCTCACTCCCAGTGAGCATGCTCACAAAGAGGGCCTCTCATATGAATCGAGCCCCTCTGCCTCAGCAAACCTGGCAGATCACAGAATGGCTTGAATGCAACACTGAACTTTGGACGCTGCTCACATCGCAGTTCCAAGACCACATCTCCCAAACAGCAGCAGCCAAGCAGCACCACTTACCAGCTGTTTTTTCCCAGCTCGACAAGCACTTCGGGCCTCCTCTTTACACCTGGAAGTCCAGAAAAGGAGAAATTAAATCAAATCACATGCAAGAGAGGGTTCACAAAACAGCTGGCTTTCCTTCCATCCTTCTTCTGCCCCAAAGATGCCTGTGCTAGCAACTGCAACAGGCTCAGACCCAATGCACTCTATAAACATTGTAAGCACTATCCAAGATACCTCGTACGAAATGACAAAAAGCTGGGGTGCATCCAAGGGCAGAAAAATGCACATGGCTGAATAGAGGGACAGAAGGTAAAAACAAGGAACTCTGATAGGCAAGTCAGAGAAATCCCTTGACTTTAGATAGTAACACGAACAAAGTGATCTAGGACATAACACGTGAGCAAGAAGTTGCAGTTCACAAGCAGCTTTTCCTTAGAGCCGAATAATACACTCGTTACCTCTCTGCTTCCTGAGAGAGGGACTCCACCTTCTGTGACAGCAGCTGCTCACTCTGCATCAGCTGGTACACCCCGATGTCCACGTCATTAACTGGGGACACTTTGGTGTGAAGACCCCGGGCAAATTTTACAATCTAGAAAGAGGTACAAGCTGTTGAGTTGCTGTCCTGCTGAAATTGTGATCCACCAAGCAGGAATCTGTAACGTGACAGCTACATTGAGGAGACAGATTTCATCTTTACACGGCCTTTTTACAAGAGTCCTGTAGCCATTTTGCCAGCTTGGAGCACTACAATACTGAAAGGGACACTAATGACCTCAAGTCTGAAAAAGGACTAAGGCCAGCTGTGCTACAAGATCACAAACCGAACAGGATTCAACTGTATCCGTACGCAGCTGGGCTGCTTCTAAGAAAGGAAAAAGCTGCAGGAGTCGCGTTTGCAATTTCAGAAACGCTCTTCTCATTCAGCACCAATTGCTTTAGGTTTGCACGACTTTTTGAAATGTGAAGTTGCCAAATACTATTCAGACAATGACCCCAGCTGGTATTTAAAGAGCACTGGGCTAACAGAAATGCCACTGTTTAGACCAGAAGTGAAACTTAGGTTGTAATCACTTTGTCAGAGTTGCAGTAGTAATCCCAAAGTTGTGGCCCTATTCGTATTTGAGAGTTGGATTCAGTCTCTCCAAATCCCTCCTGCATTTTCAACTGGATATGAAGTTCTCCCGATTCCTCTCCTAAACTGCTGTGCAATGTTGCTCCGAGTAGCTGAACTGTCCCCATGTCTACAAATTGCCTGCCAGGTTATGCAGTATAGAATTTTTGGGGGTGAACAGCACCACATTAACGACAAAGTTATTGACTGCTGAGAGGAATTAAGACCCTTCACTTCCTGAACACTCTGGAGCTTTAATCCTGCACCAAGAGGTTACACGTTGTCATAGGGGAACCTAGCCAATTCCACAAGGTACAGTCACTGGAAGATGCTGACATTTAGCTGTCAAAATAAGTACCCTGAAAGCCAAACAGGAAGCATGACAGGGATGGGATCACAGCCCAAAACTGTCACTTTTACTCTGTACCTTCTCTCCATTCTGTTCCAAGACTGTGACCCTCTTTTCCTTCTGGAGCTGGAGCAGCAACAAATAGAAGGTCCTCTCGTCCGGACACATGCTGGCACAGAGCAAACGCAATTCTGAGAGGGCAACAACAGGGTGAGAAGAAAGTGTCGAGTTCTGATACAGGCGATACATTTCCTCTGCCTTCTCCTGGAGGAAAGCAACAAAACCAACTGTCACAGTTTACACAGGGATCTCCTTCCTAGCCCTGCAATAGGTGACACATCCTTCCTTTTGTGTGGGCCAAGAAAAACTGCATATGCCGGCAAATAATCATAACATTAGAGTGCGAGCCAGATACACATATAAGGAATATTTCACATGCCAAATGACATAAAGCTCCTTTATTGCAACCTACAGCATTGGATGGTCCTGGGAGCACAAAAATAGCAGCCAGATGCTGTAGAGGAGTATTGCCCAGAGAGACGAGCCACTTCACCTCTCACAGCCATTACACTTCACAAGGAGGAGGAAGGATTTTTGCTCTTGTCAGATCTCATATCAGCTCGTATGCAATGTCTCTCCTGGTCCATATCAAATTATTCCCGTCTTCCACATGCACACGCACCTCTTTACAGACGTTTCTAATTTTTTTGGTATCACAGCCCTAGTTTAAAACATTGAGGAGGTGGCAATTTTTGTTGTTTAGAAACTAGGAATCTTTTTATGGTGCATATAAAAAGATTCCTAGTTTCTGCGTATATTGCACAGTAATGTTCCTGAAAATATTAGTGTTTGGAGACAGACTAGGGAGGTTTGTAGAGTTTTGAAGAGGGAAACGTTTATGCCGCTTGAAAAATAACTTTGTTAATGGAAGTTTGAAGAGGTAAACATTTGAATCAAAACAAATGAATCAGTTGTGTTATCTGTGATGGGATGAGGAGGAAGTGTCTTGCTTAAAATGAAACGGCACAAATGTGAAATCCAATCACCTCAGAAGGTAGACAGTAGTATTATGTATTCCAGCTACCCACAACATCATCAGTGTTTATGGTTTTATAGCTACTCTTTAAGTGACCTCTTTTTCAAGCGTGCCCCTCCTCCCCCTCCAGTCCAAAAGAACCATAAAAATTGTACTTAACTTTCAGGTTGGATCAATCTTAGCAAAACTACAAAGTCAAATATGCTGTTTCAACTCAAACTGTTTCATTAGCTTAAGAATGTATGAACATATACTGCACCCACAGGACTTTTCAGGTTTCAAAGCATAATTCAAGCATTCAAAGTGTAACTGAAGGTGTCATACTAAACTCGAATCCTTCTCTAATAACGGGTAAAAACTGAGCTCAACTCCCACTCCCTTCACAAACCTTCTTGTCCTGTTATCAGGGCAAACTCACTTGAAGTAGCTCCACAAAAATCAGGATCTCTTCTTCCTCTGGCACTTTGCTGTCACCTAGTACACTTGATAGGGTCCACTTCAGAGGCTTCAAAATGAAGACTCCCACACCCCAGGAGATCCAGCTGCTGTCTACACTGGCTATGAAGTCCGACTCTCTCTGCAGTTTGCCACGTCTGCAAAGACAGACAGCGCACACGTTACTGAACTGAACGCAGCTAGCCTGCGCCCCGGGCAGGCATCAGGTCACACAAGTCTGTGAAGAAGCATCTTGGGCAGCCCTGCGCAGAACATGCTGCTTTGCTCACAGTTCAGCCCCACTTCCCCAGGATTGTTTAACGCTGACTGGGGCACCCACGTCCATCTCTGCTTCCTATGTATCAACTTGCATACGCAAGGACTTCCTTTAACCACAAATTAGCATGCTGATCTTCTGAGATTACAGGAATTCCCTGTCTTCCTTTCTTTTGCAAGGCCAAAGAAACTACACAAATAAAACCAGAGGTTAGCTGCCTGCAGCTTTTGTAGCTGGCAAGTGTGCACAGAAGTCTGTCAGATGCACAAAGGAAGTAAAACGGAGAAGCTAAAAATCACTGTTTTCCTTCAGCTTGTCCCAACAGTCGTCATTGTGTGTTATTTTAACACACGCGGGTGCAGCCCCCTGGGGTGCCTCGAGATCCTTTCAAGGGTGCCATGCCATTCAAGGTGTCATACTAAACTTGATCGTAAACAATAAACAGACCGAACAATATAAACGCGTCAAACAACACGACTGGCACGATTTCCAGTAGGGACCCGTGGCCTCACAGACACCCCCACCTGCTGCGGCCTTGCTGAGGGCCGCGGCAGCACAACTGCTCTTTTCCGCGCTCTCAACAAGGAGAGCAACAGCGGCATCTTCCCAAGGTTGCCTGGAGGGTACGAAGGTCGAGAGCCACTCCCCTAGGGGTGCGGGAAGAAAATATCAGAACTTCTATTTAGATGTATGTTTCTATCAATATAAACGTACGTTTATGTCAATACTGGGGATGCGTGCTCAAAAACGTTTTACTGATCGGGGCGCCCCATCGAAGAAGTTTGGAGACCACTGCCCTAGGGGAGCGCCCTTTGCCCCCGCACCGCCCTCCGCGGCCTGGGAGACCCGCGTACCCCGCCGGCAGTGCCCAGGGCCCCCCTGCGAGCCACGCATGCGCCCCCGGCCGGGCCCGGCCCGGCCCGCGGTGCCTGAGCAGGTC